GGGCAAAATACTCCCATATTGTTGTCATGAAAATAACATGTCCATTGTTATAAAGTCACTTGGAACCAAGTGCAACTTGAAGGAAACTTTTTAATGTTTCGATTATTATGGAAGTCTAACTAGACTGTAGGCCAACTTTTAAAGGGGGGAAACTTCAAATCACCTGTAACAAAGACCAGGAACTTGTTCTTAGCGAGTCACAGAACAAAACACCTTCCTGAATTGTTCTAGTTTGTCAGTCTTGCCAGGTAGTCCAGACAGGAAATATGACCAGATGAGCTAATTCTACTTTATTGTAAGGCTACATTGACAGAAACTTGCAAGTCTGAAAGCGCAGTTCTCCCTCCGTCTCTTTTACAGCCTGAGAAACTAGGGAGAGTCCCATCTGAGCCTCTTGCCTCATCCATTATCCAGCTGTGGGCTATGCTCCCTCTTATCTGACCATTCCCTTGGCAGCATCTCTTCACCCTGTCTCCCAAGGTCTTTCCCACATACCATTACCTAGATACATCAGGAGGATATAGGGCTAGCAAGTCAGAGAACATGTACCTCATCTGTTTGATGGGGCAGCTGTCCCTGGGCACGGGTCCTGGTTCTGACTGGAGCAATGTGGGGTGGAAAATTAAATGTTCCAGAAAATTGCTCTTGAAACTACTGTTGCTGTTGTTTTTTTCCATGGGGGAAAAATAATCCCTGTTTTTCAACAAATTAGTAACAACAGATAATCACAATGTAATCAAATTGGGCAGCCAAAATGGATAAAGTGGCAATCAAAGTTGCAATTAATTTTCTTTTTCCCCTTCCAGGAGACCAACCTTAGGAAATGCACAGACACGCCTGCACATCCCTTGGGGCATGTTAACAGCTTTCAGGATCACAGTAATATGAGAGGAATGCACTGTATGCTATGAAGTTGTTGAGAATATTTGCAAGTTCAGCAATGACATGGCTTTTTTTCAAGGGATAACTGAAAGTCCTTCGAATATAACAATCTCCCCTCCCAACTTCTGCGTATTGTGAACACAGCTAGAGGGTATGCTAGAGTTCCACATTCAAAAATGGAAGAAGGCTTCCTATTGTGGAGAGGAAGCCATCACATTCCCCCTGCAATGTATTCCCTGACCTCAAAATCTGTTCTGAGGTCAGGATTCCCAGTGCTTCTAAAATCGCAACAGGATGTGCGGAACATAGCTTCCTAGGAACCATGTGCCGCCCTGTCCATGTCCACCATGTCCACCTCCTGACAAAACCTGGATCTGCTGAAGGATAACAAGTCCCATTCTCTCTACTCCTTCTGTGCCTCCAAAGTCACCAGAGCACACTGCCACAGAGCATAGCGGATTCCTCCGCTGGCCCCTTTGCCCAACCAAAGTTTTTGAATGCAAACTCCCAGAAAAATTCAACAGGCAATTAAATGAGCCTGATGGGAGACAGGAGGAAAAAGAACTTTGCCCCCAATTCCACCCATCGCATCTGGCTGACTGACTGGTAGGACCTTTTCAGCTGTGCCAGATTAAGCCATTCCCTTCCTTGCAGGAGATTGGCATATTGAGGCTGCTGGCGAGGGCCTGTGGGCTTAGAGGGGTCCTTACCCACCCAGTGGTGGTGTGCAGCATGGAGACCAGAGCACTCCTAAACAGCAGCGAGACTCTCATTGGCTCTCCACTCATTTCTTCAATCCTAGTTGGCGGGCTGCCCTCTTACATTATCTCAAGTGGCTCCCTCAAGTCTGGTGCCAACCTTGTTTCTTTTCTGACCTATAAAGCAGAAGCACATTGCCCTCCTGCAGATGTTGGCAGGGCCAGGTGGCTCCACTCGTAAGGAGTTGCTCTCACAGCACTTTTCAAGACAGTCCCAAACAGGATGATGGGATGTCTGGAGGAAGGAAAGCCCCAAAACTAGGGTATAACAGGTGAAATCTGAGAATACATCTAAGAAATTGGTCATTATTTAATCCCAGGCTTCTTGGCTTTTCCCTAGGTGGTGGGCTGAGGTGTTAGTTGAGCCCATATAGGTGTGGCTTGTGTTGTGACTCTTGTTATGGTGCCTCGGTTGTTGCATTAGGATTTTAGAACTCTGCTTTGTATTTTGTTGAAATATATATATATATATTCAACAAAATACAAAGCAGAGTTATAATTATATATAAAATAAACTCCCCTCTCACCCCTACGGGTGGTACGTGTCTTCCTCAATCTCGGGTCCTCTACTAGAGGCCTGGGAGTTGGAGGGTCCTGCGCAGTATCTTAGCTGTTCCTAGCACTGCACTCTTCTGCACAGAGAGCTCTGAAGTTGTTCCTGGGATCTGTTGGAGCCATTCTCCCAGGTTAGGAGTCACGGCCCCAAGTGCTCCTACCACCACTGGGACCACTTTGGTCTTGACTTTCCACATCCTCTCTATTTCCTCCTTCAGGCCCTGGTCCTTCTCCAGCTTTTCACGCTCCTTCTTCCTGATGTTGCTGTCACTTGGCACTGCTACATCTATCACTACCACTGTCTTCTAGTCTTTGTCTTTATATATATATATGTTCTTAGCTGCCCTGAGTAATGTACGTAAGATGAGGAGCCACATCAATTCCCTAAATAAACAAGTAAACAAATGTAATTTGGATTTCATACTTCAGTGTCGAGACCGCCTGACTCCACAACGACTCTGGGCGGCTTACAATTAAAAAAGAATTAAAAAGCAAACAGATATATCAAACAAAAGGGAAGACAAGCCACAAAGTGTGCAGCAATTATTTTATGCTGACAGAGGAATCTACGCAAAGCAAAAAATGGATCTCATTTTTTTTTGTCTTTGATTTTAACTCGGATACATAATTTGCCCCTTGAATATGGTGGAAATAAACACACAGACGCACACACAGATAAAAGCTCTTCTGTCAACCTACGCCTACAGCGGGGTAGGAGGCAACCCAGGGCACCATTCATGGTAGACAAATGTGCATATTCGCTTCTGTAGTTTTTGCAGTACTGGATATTGGTCTAGACAGGATGCTCTGAATGGCAGAAGAAAGGTAGTTCCTTGGCCTGGGAGAGTTGGGGCTACCAATGTCACTTAAGAACAAGTTAAAGATAAACCTGACCATTGCAAAAACAGGTGCAAACAGATCAGCTTACTCAAAAGAAATTAAATAGTTACTAACACTAGGCTAGAAACAAAGGAAACCCAACAAAATTTGTAGGACTAGGACGCAATTCCACCTACTTCCTGAAATGGCTATAGGTTCCTAATTTTCTTCAGTTAATCTTACTGAATCTCAGCTCTTGGATTTTCTAGTGAGATTATCTCAGTCAGTATTTTTCAACTGTGGACACTTTAAGATGG